CTCATCTTTCCCACCAATATTCAGCTAATGAGTTTTTGCCCCCCTGCTTTCTTATATGAGATGGATCCTGCCAAGGAGAAACAGTGCTAGAAGCAGAGTAAGATTAGGGGATTCCTGTGTTTTTCAATCCTGTCTGATTGCTTCATCTCCTGTGTGTTTCTAGAGATCAGAAAAAATCGGGGTGAGGGGGGCAGGGGTAACTTTGGATGTATCTCCAGACTGGTCAGTCAGCCCTTGGTTAGATATCCTTGGTCTGTGGGTTCCTGGCAGAGACCCTCAGACTGGCAGTCACATCTGAGTTTCTGTAGTACTGAAGTTTTCACTTACTGGGTAACTCAGCCTCTCTAAATTTTAAGATATGAGAAACAAATAAAATAAAGAGTGTGCAATATTATTTGCTGTATTACTAATTGGAATTAATCTTGCCAGCCTATAGGCTTTGCTTCCTCTATTAGACCGGCTCTCTCTGTAAAAGATAAAGGTTGCTATTATAGGCCCATGAAGCGGGTGCTGGGTAGGCTGATGAGACTAGGATACAGATGGGATGATCCACACTGCCCCAGCTGCTCACCCCAGGCTGCAGTTTGGGGCTCAGGGGACTTCTTTCATTTTACCTCTCATTGGGCCCCATAAGTCACTTTTGCCTCCTTTGTTGCCCCATCCCTTTGATCTCTTCTTGGCTTCCAGACACTCCCTTTGCGAGTCTGGGGCTTTGATCAGATGACACGGATGTGCATAAGTTTGAGAACCTGTTTGGTATCTCTGACTCCTTTGGCTTCAAAGCATTGAACTGGGGTCCAAGACAACCTGTAGAACCACTGCACCCCCCGAGCAACCACTCACCTGTCCTGCATGAACTGCAGGTGTCTCCAGAGACCTACCAAGGGTTTACCAAGAGCTAGAAGATCACAAGCGGTGCCTCAACCCTGATGGTCAGACTGTGTGCACATCCTGCATGTGGTCATAAAGAATGTCTGGGAGGAACCCACCAAGGTCACCTTCCCCAGAGAGGAGATAGGGCTGTGCTGTGCCTAACAAAATTCCTGTAGACATTATCTTGTGCTCACAGACAAGATCCTTGTACATTTCCTCCAGGATGACATCAGTATGCCCACAGTGCCTGGTGAGCCTCGAGGAGGTGGGGCCTGGATCAGGTTGTGTGAGCGTGGAGGGACGTGATTGGGGATAATGGGAACAGTCCCATTCCTTCAAACCAGCTGGATCATTCTCCCTTTTTATTCTTCTTTCTTCCTCCTTAGTTACTGAAGCCCAAACCATTTTTTCCCTCTCTGCCTCATTCTTCCCCAGGCGAGGAGGCTACACCACGGACACTTCCACCATTGCCAGCACGATAATACCTGAGCCCAGCAATGTGTCTTCAAATTGAGGACCTTGAATAGACTCGGATGGGAGCAGCTTTGCTTCCCTAGGGTTCCCACTTCAGAAGGAGACCAATTTGTCATGTTTGAAGTTTGCTTCTTAGACAGATTAACCTACAGTCAGATTCTTAGGTGAATTTGCCCTAATCTCAGTGCCCTGAGCCAGCCCTGGATCCAACACACAGTACTGCCCACCTCACATACCTCTGCCCAGTGCATACACAGCTCTGGGCTTAATGATATTGGAGGCCTCTAAAATGCAAAAAGCCACAGTTTTCAGGAAAAATGTACTGTCCTTGACCCACTGCAGAGCTGGGCTGTCTTGGTATTGGGGTGGAGGAGTGGAGAAAAGGTGGAGAGAGCCAGGCTGGGTGTCAATTTTATGTATCAAGCTTGGAATTCAGTTCACACTCCAGTCGTAGAAAGTGATCAGAGCACCACATGAAAATCAATACAAACTGCTTGTCCAAGTCTTCTTTTGCTTCCTGGACTGTTCTCCCCTTTCATGGGCCTCCTGCTGACAGAGGGGAAAGGAGACAACATGTATTGTTTTACCAACCCTCATTCCACCCTGAGTACACAGAATCCTATAGTCAGCTAGCCAAGGCTACTATGCACATCCCCACACACCTGTACCTCACACACTGAGCTTTTTTAACCTCAGTTAAAACTTTTAAAAAAGTTTTTAAAAGCAGTTTTTTTGCTGCTGAGTGAGAGAGGAAGGGAAGGCCTTTAGCCTGTGAACAGGGCCATTGAGAATTAGTAGTCACTTTTCATTTATTTCAGTGGGTGAACAAGACCCAGCAACCTCCCTGCTGCCTCCTCCTCTGTCTAATACCTCCCAGCTGGCAGATGAACAAAACCAATGTCAGCCTCCTTCCCAGCTCCTGGTCACCTCTGAGAAGCTAAAACAGGCACTCAGTAAGGACTGAAGAGGAACCCTTCCTTCCTCTGAGCCCCAACTTCTGAGATTCCCTAAACAACACCCAAATATAGCACCAACAGATGAGAGCACTCAGCTATTAGAAGAGCAAATATATGTGAAAAGGATAAATGTCCATGGTAATGCAAAACAGCAAACAGAGACCATCATCTTCAGAGGATAAGGTAGCATGTGGTCTAATGAATTTTCTCTAATTGTACAGAAACATTTCTTTGATAGAAATTTTCTTTCTCAGGGGAAAAACTTCCTTGCTGACTTGATGAAATGCATCCCTAAGGGTAAAGCCTGGAACAGTGGAGAGGGTGGCCTGAGGGACTTGCCTTCTTCACCCACGCTGGTAGGGCCTGGTTGGGGACATGGGGGCTCACGGAATGGGGATGACCCAGGCACAGTGGCTGATTCATGATTCTGACAATTTTGTGGTGATGTCTAGAGACATGAAAAACAAATCAGGGTACCCTACTTCATCATGTTCTAGATGGGAAAGAAAATGCCTTCATGGACATAATTGTGTAGATTGACAAGATTTTAATAGTAGATAAAATTTTGTAGCAATGTTCAATTTATTGTAGTTTATGTGTACTGTGTATACCTAGAAGAATATCTTGTTTAACCATATGGGAACTGTAGTATTTATAGGTAAAGAGCTTTGATATATGCAACATACTCTTGAATGTTTGAAAAAGAAAACATATTTATCCATCTATCTGGATAGAGAGAGAGAAAGAAAGGACTAGTGAGCAAGGGAGTCCAAGGGACAAATGGTTAAAAGTGGGCAATCTGGGTCATGGGTTTATATACATTCATGCAACTTTTCTTTAGCTTTTATATTATTCCTAAATTAAAACCAATTGACTCTGTTTCCCTTTCATCAAGAGACATATATACCTTTTCATTGTTTTAATTTTTTATTATGAAACATTTTAAACATACACATCAGAGGAAATATATAATGAATTCTTAGTACCCACCTCCTGCCTTAAATATTGTCATTTTGCCATTTGTGGCAATGCCATCTTAAAACAAAAACAAAAACCGGAAAACATAGAGGAGCAGCAGTCCAGTTAAACTTCTTGTCTGCCATCTCTTGGAGGCAGTGCTAAGTCCCCTCAGGCAAAGCTATCTGACCCTCTAGAATGCTCCCAGTCCTACACCACTTGAGGAAAAAACTTTCCACATTATATATCCACAGCATTGATGCTTGGCACACAGTAAGCTTTTGAAGCTCTGGGCATGGGTCTGCCTTTCTCTCTAGTCAGTTCTGGGGTCCATTTTGAATGAATTTCCTTCACATAATGTACAAGGAAGTCATGTGACGAGTAATTTTAGTGCACAACAGTATAATCCTTCAATCACTTAGTAACTGCAGCATGCAAAAGAAACAAGCAGCTGGAAATTTGGTTAAAACTTCAGATTGCTACATAAATACTTTCTACTCTTGATGAAAAAAAAGGATGTAGTACTGACATACATCTAAAATAAGAATTTGGGATGTCATTAAGACAGTCCTTAATTTTTGCCTGAATAACTATCAAATATGAAATTTATACAGAATTATTTAGTTATACCATGTGTGCCATACTATGGCCTTATATTATTGAAATAGTTCATGTGAACCAATTTACTATAAAAGGAAAAATATCTGAATAGGGGAAAGCAGACCCGAGGTATACAGGTTACCCTAGAATTGACGTGTTTCCATTCAGTCTTTTTGTGGTTAGAAAAGAGTTCTTGGTTAAATTAACAGAGCTTAGAAATGATCTGTTTTATAAATACCTATGCTTATTTGTTCCTTGAACATGCCAAGTTGTTTTCTGCCTTGGATCTTTTCACTTGCGGTTTCCGGTGCATGGAACCCTACCTCACTGGCTTATCACGTGGCTGGCTTCTTCAGCTTTCAGTTTACATGTCATCTCCTTATAGAGGCATCTGTTGCTTTTCACCCAACAATCATCCATCCTTCTTTTGGTAAAAGAGTGACCCAATTTTCCTCTAGAGTTCCACTCTTTACCCCTTTTTAAGCATGTGGTTTAGGTGGGATGGCCCCTTTGTCCAGCTCCAGGTGTGGTCCTGATGGACTTGAGCCAATAAGCATATGAGTATTTTATTACCATGACCACGGATAGACCTGTAACCCAGTCAGAACCAAGGAGATGTGAGAAAACATTTATTGGGGTTCCTGAGAAAGAAAAGTTCCTTTCTACTCATTGAGAGCTTTTGGAAGAGACCTTCTTCTTTCCCTAGATTGTAGGGTAGTAGTTATTCTCATGAATGGGAGTCTATTTGTGTGTGGTGGGCGGGTATGGGGGGGGGTTAAGGAGTGGAGAGTATTGACTGTGGAGCCTGTGGATGACTTCATCAGTGAGGAAAGCAGGGATGAGAGGCACGCTGAGGAAGATCTTCTGAAATTACTTTGATGTGTGAGACCAAACCCTGCAGGAAGGTAGACCTAGTCCCAGATATCAATAAATTCTCTTTATTGTTTAAGCCAGTTCTTGTTGTTGTTATTTATAACATAAAGAGTTCTAATGAATACAGCTGTTCAGAGAGGATTTTCCTGAAGAACCTATCTAAAATGGCCCCTCTCCCTCCTACTGCTTATCACAAACCCTGTTTATTGCCTTCATGTTACTGACTACAATTTGTAACAATATTCTTGATTTGTTTGCTTACTTGTTTATTGTCTGTCTCAGCTGCTGGGCTGTAAGTCTTCAAGCTGGGAACTTGTGTATCTGGTTCAAGAGTTGTTATCAGCGCCTGGAACAACAGTGTCTTGAAAGATAGAAATAGCATTTATTAATTGTATGGATAAGGAACTTTTTTTTTTTTTTTTTTTTTTTTTTTTTAGCTGAGCCATCCTGCTACCTATTGGCAGCTTAGCGGCTGCTCAGCTCGGGCTGGCCTCGAACCGCTGTTGCTCAGAGCTCAAACTCTTGAGCGAGCTCTTAACCAACTGAGCCATTCGGCCGGCCCTTGGATAAGGAACTTTTTTATAGCTACCAAAATGCATTTTCCCTCAATCCCTGCTCTAAGCAAAAAAAAAAAAAAGTAGATTATAATTAAACTGCGTGTGCCCATTAATATGAATTCTGACAGTCCTTTTCCAAACAAGGTGAAATAATTTTCCTGTATGTCAGTTTTAACATGAAATTTTGTTATTTTACTTAACCACAGTTAGACTTCTAGCAGTTTTATAGTTTGGTCTCAAACAAAGAACTCTTTTACCATCTGCTTTTACTTTTAAAAGGGCTCTCCAATAGACACACACTTGAAAACACATTGAAACAGAGCTTAAATAGCTTTAAAAGAGGAGAATAAAATGTTTTCCAAAAACTTGACCAGAAAGCTTAGAAATTACTTCGTACTTTTTGGCAACAAAAACAACAGAACAACGAACAGCTTCATCATTTTGTGGTAGTTGCAGATAATGACTAGAAGGGAATGAGATATGAATATAGTAAAAAAGAATTGAGATACTCTGAAAGATGCTGTAGAAACATCTTGGAGAAGAATACTACACACTTCTAATCCTGTCAATAATATATGAGTTGTTGCTTTACCTGTGATATACCCAATTAATAGCAAGGGATTCTGTTTTCTGTCTTTTTCATATTTTAAAATATTAACTGTTCTCAAATGGGAAATGATAATTTTTTATATGACCATTTTCCCAATATTCTCATAGAGTGGTTTTCATTTTTTTGGGAGATCAACACAATATTACTAAGTTTTTAAATCAGAATCTCTATCTCTGGGTATTTAACTTAATACTCATTAATTCAATAAAAAGTATTTATTAAGCAGCTACTATATACTAAGCACTGTGTTAGACTTAACATGTGCACAAGATAACAAGATCCCAGCTTCCCAGCTCTTAAGGTGCCCATAATTTAGTGGGCAGAGTGTCGTAAATATTCTTAGCACATATTTTATATTTTTAATGTGTTGATACAGAAATTTAAAAGGTGAATTGCTAAAATTTGCCTCAAAGTAGAATTTTAATGATCTGTCACTGAAATGTGTTATATGACCATTTGGGAAATCTAGTTAATATAGAATCCTGGGACTAAAATTACATAAAGGGACCCTAGAGGTCATCTAATCCATTCCCTGTAGCAGACGGTAACAGAAGATAACAATCTTAGAAGATAAATATTCATTTCATTTTGATGTCCTGAAAAATATGACTTCCTAAAAATAACAACACTTTTGTTCTAGGATAATAAAGTTACAATGGCACTTTTAAAACAGATAGTGTTGGAATTCTGGTGCTTTGTCCTTGAACTACAGGACTTAAAGGCAAACAAACTAATTTTTAAGAATTTCCAAAACTGAAGAGCTGAGAAAGAAAAATGCTTTCAACTTCTAGAAAGGAATAGAAGCCTAAATAAGTAATTAAAAGGTAGTAAGATTTGTGTGGCATCAGACACATAGCAAGGGTATTTAATCAACCAAACCATTTTAATAAACGCAATTATTCTGGTATGTAATCCACAGGAGCCTTTGGTGTCCTCTTTATTCATGAAGCACCCCCCCACCCCCACCCCATGACTCATCACCATTGCCAATGTTAATTATAGTGTTTCCTTGGAGAACACCTGACATAAGAAGTCCTTGTGTACCGGAAGGCCTCCCCTCTTGTCCTCTGCCACTGACAGAGATCCCTTCCACCAGTGATGCAGCCAGAGCCCTCCCTTTGCCGCTGTTGCCTCTTCCAGAGTCCTTGCTCCCTGCCAACAACCCTTGTGAGGAAAAAGATCCAAAACTTGGAAATGCAGCAGAGAGCGTGCTTTTGTACGGTGTAGCCCTACACTCATGAGGGATCGACATGATGAGCAGCAGCTCTGCACCCCTCTCTTGGTGTGCTAGGGGATCTAAATCAGTGTTTGTGTAGATAGCACTCTAGACTATACATTTGGAATTAATCTTCAGTTTTCTGTTCTTTCCCCAAGCTTGGATTCTCTAGTTCTGTTTCATTGAGGACCCCATCTGATTGAACAGAGAGCTGAGTGAGGAGTGATCTCAGGAAACGCCGTGCTGTGTCCTCCATGTACCTGCCTGCTTTTTATCTCATTAGGGCAAACCTGTCTGAGCACCAGAATCCCTGGGGAACTCTTTACAAACATGCAGAGTCCCAGGCCTATTCCAGACCTTTCAGCAGTGGGACCTGGGAACCTGATTCCGATGTCATGTTTGGGGCCCACTGGAGAAAAGGAAAGAATGCTGAGACTACTTAAGTTCTTTGCCCACGGTCCTTAGCTTCTGTGGCATTGATTTCCCACTCTGCAGAATGGGGAAACAAGGCCAGCTCTGTGCATCTCACGGGTTGCTGTGAGGCTGATGGCTGTGATAGCGTTTTGGCTAAATGCTTTACTATTATTATTTTTAAGAAAAAGCAATTCACAATAGTTGTTTTTACTCTGCCAGGGAAATGGAGCTTACAAAGTACAAGTGTCACAAACACAGAAAAGTCTCTCAAACACAGATTGTATGGGTCGTGTTTCTACAGACTCACTGCCATTGCTGAGTCTGGATCTAAACCTAATTATAGAAATCAGTCTTGAGAGTAGTATAGGAAACTCTCTGCCTATACCCTCACCACAGTCCCAAACCTGTACAAAGAGGCCTGAAGTTCTTTTAATAATGGAAAAGCCTTTTATTCCATAATTAAAGATAAGACTCTTATCTTCAAAGCACACTTCATGAGATTAACGCATTTACTCAAACTTACCCAATAGTGGCATTGACTGAAACTTTCTTCCATGGTCCCTACCGAGGTGGCACTGGAGAGGACTGAGTGTTTTGCAGGAAACTGGTACATGCCTCCCCAGGAGCTGGGCAGACAGGATGGGCTGCTATCAAGTGTGTCGGAAAATGCAGACCAGACACAGGGAACTAAGTCCACAAAATATGGACACTTCAGTATCTTTTCTAGGCCCACCTCCTGACTTAATAATGTATTTTATTTCTAAGTGGGCAGCAGCCTCATCTTTCTCACATCAGATTTGCCTCCCTTTTCTGATGAAAGTTAAAACTGTACTTGACAATTTGCTTCAGGAGATAAGCATTTGTAAGTTTCTTATTTTACTATTGGCTCATATGTGAAAAGAAGGGGGAAAGGGGAAGGGATGGTAGGAATCTAATTTCTAATTCAACCCAGAAGTGGTGAACTTGATGTTTGTCAACTGATTTAACTGAGCCTCATTCAAATTTTAATTATCTGACTCCCTAATAAAGCATTACATTTTTTGAGGAGCTCTTTCCAGATAGCTATGATAGTTTTCTCTGGGAAGAAAAGACTGTATAAAAAAGTTTGCCATCCATCCTGCCATTTCCCTTTTAGAAGTCATGTGTGTTCTGATCAAGGTCATGGATGTTTTGGGATTTGAGATAGCAAACAATCTTGACATTTTTGGTGGACATTAGCAAAACAACAAAGAAGCACATTAGGAAAGAATTGCAGGAAGTGGAGCTGTGGCTGGTAGAAAGCACAGAGGAGATACGGCCTTGCATGCTTCGGCCTTCCAGCCAGCTTGGGACTTTCACTATCTCACACCTCCAGTGACATGTCCCAGATAGCACTCACACTGGTGAAAAACAAACGCTCCCTGGACCCACAACAACTGTCACTGGCTGGAGTTTAGTATTAAGGGGAAAACACATTCTGTCTGTTTGATCTTTCTTAACTAACTTAATAGTCAGTACTTGGATACTGGAAAACAAATTTATTGTTTAGATCTCTGTTAGGAATGAGGGAGGGGAAGAAACATATTAGCTTTGAGTTCTTTTTCAGGGGCATGGGGTGGGGCGGTGGAGTTGTTTTGGGTGCAAATTGCTCTCCCAGGTTTACAAGAAGAGAGGAGATATGCCATATAGGACTGATGTAATATTCATTCTTTTCCCTAGATAGAGGTCAAAGAATCGTGTGTAACCCAAACTCTTTTCTCAGTTTTAATCATTTAGGGAGGGTTCTAGTGCTAGCATATGAATCAATGCAACGTGTAAGCCAGCGATGGCGTCTGCAGGCCTGTGTGAGCCTTGCTTGACTCCACTCCTCTCGCGCACACTGCCTGCTTCCAGTTCCCCTGTCAGTGTGGGCCCATGAGAGCAGCTGGCTCAGCTCGTAGTAGTAGTGAGAGAAAAAAATATATACTGCTTGGATTTCATTTTTTGCTGACATCATATATTTGAACTGGCATGTTTAGACATTTTAGATGGAAAAGACCTAAATCAGAAGGCCAGTCCTTCAGTTATGCAGAGAAAGCAACTGAAAACATACTGTTGGGGAGCTGTGAACCACTGTTTTTGTGTTGCTATACAAACCTTAGGTCTTTACAGTTTCGGGATTAGCTCTTTCCTATTGGAAAAATACGATTTAGACCTCCCCCTAACTCCTTTTCATGACTCATCACATGCATTTTTATTATATATTTTCACTCTTGTAGTTACCCAAGATCCACGATGCTTGTCCTCCCACCCCGCTGGTCCTCCCTTTTAGCACAGAGCAATATGACAGAAGCAGGTCAGCCTGGTTCCGGGGGAGGATGTCACTGGGCCCTTCCACAGCACTTTCAGTGACTCTCCAAACTACAGCTGAATCTTTAATCTGAAAACAATGTGCTTGCTCTGCACAGTTTTGAGACAAGTCCATAATTTCCCCTTATGGTGGCTCTCAAGGCCCTCTAACAGAGACGTTCCAGAGGCCTCAGCACCCTGAGTATTTGGTTGTCTAGGTGAAAAGGTAGCCTTTAGTGTTGCATAGTAATAGGGCTACCTCACAGGGCTACCAAGCATTCAGTGAGACAGGTAAGTAAAGCACCTAGCTAGCGTAGTTCTTGACAAGACAGTGAGTGCTCATTAAAAAGAGTTCTCTAGATTAGTTCACGTAGTTTCTCTGTAATTCAATATTCACTAATAGATCAGGTCCTTGAATCCACTTGACTTAATTATGTTGTCTAAAAGGGGAGAAAATGAAATCCCAGTTGGGAAAGGAGCTGGGTTCCCAGTCAGAAACAGTTCTCCCCTTTTGATGTTTAATGGGATTTAACCTGTAGGTGTCATAGATCTTTAAAAAATTATTAATGAGTGTTTACAAAAGAAATTCAATAAGATAAAAGGTTGAATTCCTAAGAAGAAAGCATTGCTTGTGATCTGGTGCTTGATTTACACAATGTATTTTCCATCTGTGCTTGTATCTTTTGCTTTTAGCTGTGTGATATCTATCTCGAGCAGTGCAAAGAGGGATCGGATTGGAGTCCTGGAAAGCTGCCAAATCACATCTGTGTTGAAGTGGTTGACACAGTTTCTGGGATAAAGAAAATTCCTGCCAGAAGGGGCCCATTTGTTCTTAGACTTAAGTTTGTATCATGTGAGTTGAACCCTGGAATTTGTATATGAAATTGCTCTTGAAAGGTAAGATATATAGAGAGCCAGCTGTAACTGGTTTGTTTAAACTGAGCCTAGATCAAGGCAGACCCGGGAGGGGGAGGGGCAGAAAAACCAAATCTCAAGACTGTTCAAACCAGTTGAACATGCTCATGGGAGCAGGACGCACCCTGGGGGAAACCAGGTCCAAAAATAATGGCCTTACACAGTATGAGGATGTCATAATTCTGATCTTCTGAGGCTAACCCATTTTGGCAAAGCTTTGCAAAGATGCAACTATATGTTGTAATTTTATGCAAATTAGAATATGGATTCTCATATCTGGTTGCAGACTGTAAGCTTAAAAGTGAGTTCCAACAATTTAACATTCTACTTATGATAGAGCACTGATCAATCCTTATATTGATGCCTGAAGTGATGAGAGGATAGTAAAAGAATAATGTTTCACAAGAGTCTATGGACACTTAGGGGTCTGAGGACATTATGTTCAGGTCCTTGTATGTTGAGGGTGTGTGTGGTGTGTGTGTGTGTGTGTGTGTGTGTGTGTGTGTGTGTGTGTGTGTGTGTTCAGTTCAGTGATGATATTTAAAATTATTATTTACCCTTACATGAAAAAGTTTTCTTTTTACACTGGTAATTCATTATTGAAAGATGCTTTACTTTCATAACTTATATCTTAGATCAGTGTGTTTTAAACCAGGGATTTGACATTATATTCTGGGTGATTCTTATAATAGGGGTATGTTCTTTATTCAAGCATGAGAAATACTGTAATTTTGGACACGTGAATTAACCTTGAGCCCTAATTTCTTGATCTATTAAACAGGATTTATAATGCCTCCTTCAGAAGGTCACATGGATTAAATGTGAGCAATGTTTATAAAGTGCTTGGGACTTACTAAGTGCTCAGTAAATATTAGTTCTCTTTTCTGTCTCTCTCTGAGCTCCCTTTCCTCATTCCCTGGGGATTAACAGAGGCACAAAACAGATAAAGATGCTAATTACAGATAGTTGGCTTCGCTTCCTCAAATAAAGAAGGTAGAATGGTTTTAACAAGTTGTTGCTATATGTCAGGCTTTTAGAAAGTTATACTTAATCATGATATCACTCCAGATTAATTGAGAAGGAATCTCATAATTATGAATAGAATATACTAGATAATCCAAGTGTACCTGGAGTGCCTTATATTTTCCATTCTTCTGCAATTGTCCTTTCCATTAATCTCCAAATAAAAATAATGCAATCCCCCATTTGCTTGCACACAAGAAACTCATTTCACTTCTGGCTATTTTTGAGAGTTCCTTGGAGTCCTGTTGTCATTTGTCACTTTTTATTTACCCTCTTAGTTTATGATTGTCACTGGCTATCTAGTCACCATTCTCCATGTTGATCCTTCTATCTCTTCTTCATAGCCCCCAAATGAAGACAGAGCCCCTTCCTTCATGTTCTAAGGCAATGTTACCATAGGCAGATACTAGATTACAGTGGCTGATAAGAAGAGCTAAGGGACTTGAAAGCTGCCCGTCAAAATCTCTGCCCCTGGGTTCCCTCCTGTGCTCCATCAGGGGGCATTTCCAGTTGACAATCTCTCCTGGAGTCCCAGCTGCTGGGCTCAGCTGCCCCTTGGATTTCGTACGTTTTCCCATTCCTTCTTTTCCTCAAGTTCCTGGGCCTCAGTCCCCCATTATTCTACCCCACATGCTCACAGTGCTCAAACAAGATAGTTCGATCTAAATAAAGACTGTTGTAGAATTTTTCCTCACACCTTTAATGCTGAAACATCCCCAAACTACATATCAGTTACAAAAATCTGGGACCTAATTCTGTTAATGCCAATTAGCTGACAGATTTTAGTCACTAATTATTTCTATACTGTAATTTCATTGAATTGGGGCTTGTTTGGCAGGGATGGAGCTGCAGGTTGTAGGGGATACAGGTCTGTGTGTGGGAATATAAAATGATCTCCATTTATATGAGGAATCTAAAATAGTCAAACTCCTAGAAGCAGAGGGTAGAAGGTAGATGCCAGGACTGGGAGGAGGGGGAAACAGGAGGGATTAGTAAAAAGTTACAAAGTTTCAGTTATAAAGGATCAATAAGACCTGGAGATCTACTGTATAATAGAATTGTGCCTATAGTTAACAATACTGTATTGTACACTTAATATAAGTTTTTATCATCATAATAAACAGGGCAGTAGGAAACCTTTGGAGGTCATGGATATGTCTGTGGCATAGGTTGCGGTGATGGTTTCTCAAATACACACTTAACTCTAAACTCATCCAGCTATATACATTAAATATGTACAAGTTTTTGCATGTCCATCATACCTCAGTAAAGTGGTTTTTAAAATATATAAAATGATCTCCATGGTTGCTTCAAATTCAGATTCTATTTTATTCTAAAAGCACCTTTTTAGCATTAAAAATTCATATACATTACAATTAAATTATCTTTATATACTTATGTAAATTGAATAATGAAATTACTAAAATTTAAGTATAGCCAGTGTAATTTCATCTCTAATTTTACATGAAAAGTTTTGCATAGAGCAACAAAATTAACCATACTAATTTCCCATTGTGGGAGATATTTTATTTCTGTGAATTTCTTAGTCTTTTAAAAAAATTTTTTTTGGAGGGGGGCAAGGAAGGGAAATATATATGTTATTATAATAACTATGTATATTTCAGTATCAGAAATCCATCTTTGATGTAAAAGTAATTTATTTGATTTCTGATACATTTGTAATGAGTTGGTTTTAAATTAGAGTTCCATGAGCTCATGATATCCTTCCATCAGCAAAAAAAAGGTCATCTTTTCTTTTTCTTTGGGCATGTAGACAATATTTTCCCCAGAATTGATACTATATGAAGATTCAAAGTTATACAAAAGAATTTGAAATCAAATACCTGCCACATAACCCATAACCCAAGTCACCCTGTAGACATACCTGATGGACCTTTTCACATTTAAGTTATGAAGAGAATTCAGGGGCCAGTAGGTCTTACCTCACTCTCCAGGTAGGTCAGGGAGGTGCCCAAAACACAGATGTTTGCCTGTAGCTCCAAGCTGTGTAGCTTCTCAGAGCCAACAGACACACTTTCTGGGTCTGGGGTGTTGGGTTACACCCCACCCCAGTACTGCGTAATGTGCTTAAAGAATCTGGTCAGCCTGGGGAGGAAAAGGAAAGGCTTCATTGCCTCAAATTTAGTAATGGTTGATTTTGCTTCGATTCATTTATAAGTTTGATTATTGATTATAGAGATTGTGGTAATCTGAGCAATTTCATTTGAAAAACTTCACATATTACTAGTTATTGGTAATGACTAAAACCTCAGTTAATATTTTAAATACGTACTTATACACACACACAGTTTAAACAAATTAGGCTTTAAAAACAAATATACATCAAATCATTTCTCTAAATCTTACATATTGTCTGTTCCCTCATCTTCCTCTAAGTTTTGGTGATTCTCATCTCTTTTAAACCCCATCGTTTAGAAGGAACTGAAAGAAAACCCACCTTAGATCAGGCCCCTCAGGCCTGCTGACTTGCCGATTCAGCCTTGAAGATGAGTGACAAACCATGAAGTAGCTAGAAGGTAAATATTCCTCTTAGTTACCTGGTGGTATATTTTAATTCTTGTAAAGTACCAAACTTAGCTTTTTATGGTTTGGTAAAGTTGCTGCATCTGGATACAATTATTGTGTAAATAAAGAAGTATCTGTTTCAATTGATATTAATATATCCTGTTCATTTCTTGATCACAGTGGTGGGAGCAGCAGTCACCTTAGCCGCAGAGGAGGAACAAATACAGACATTCAAGGCAAGGCCTGTAGCAGCATCGCTCGCACCCCCGTGCAAGCCTTCCCGCCTTCTCCAGTGGGAGGAAAAGCGGTGCTGCCACAACTTCGGGCATGCCCACAGGTAGGTCAGGTGCAGGACAATGTCACCTTTCTTTTCCTTCAAGGTGAAAAAGTGCTTAAGAACCGTTGCTCCAAAAGAGCGGATTTTGAACTTTTAAAGCCACGGAACCTTTTTCTCAAAAGAAATTTTACATGGACCTGAAATAGATAAAATAGATAAAAACATACATGCTCTGGGTGACATGGTGAGAGGTGGGGTGGGAAAGTTACAGAACCCCAATGGCTGGGCTAGCGTTTGGGGTTTACTTACCCTCCAAGAGTCCAGAGGCAGTCACGCTATAGAGCCCCAGGACCAGGAAGAACATGTTAATAGTTTGGATTGCTCTGTAGTTGGCTCTGTTGCAACATAATAATGGCATCACCAAAGAAGGTACAAATACACATCAAATATTAGAGACTTCTTGGAAGAATAGCAGAGAGACCGCAGTTATCTTCAAACTCTGGGATGGCTCAGTTGGCCATCAGGCAAAGGGGCGGAGACAAGTGGATGAGGCTCTGCTCCCTTTCACTCAGCACCTCTATACATACAGTTATTCTTGGATCTGTTTACCCTGTTGGGCTTCACACATAAGATTTTTTTTTTCTGACGAAAAGATTCAATTTCTGTAAATAAAAATTTTTTTAAGTGTGTTTAATTCTTACATTATAGATAAGGAATCTGAGCCCTGGAGAAGTTGTGGTTCTTCTCGTTGATTTGATTATTGAATATCAGAATCAAGACTACAAGCAGGGTCAAGTGAACAGTTCAGCTGTGGAGTGGAGCATGTGTGTCCTGTGACAAGCACTGTCCTCGGCAGGAGCAGCCTCATCATCCCAGGCCTCCTCTCGTATGAACTTTCTCTTTCCTATTATGGCTCTACTTAGGTGACTGCTGAGTTCCTTCCACAATGACAACGGCATGGAAGTGATGCTGCTCCTCAGCATACACTCAAGGAGAACTTGCAGCTGGGAGCCCTCGATCTGCATCTACTTTGGGCTAAAAGTGTAAAGAATTGGGTTGGTCTGGTGCCTGCTTGTCCATGGCATGGCTTTATATACATTTATATAGGCTTTAGTTTAATAGAATTTAGATCATCTAGGTTTTTCTTGTTTTTATTTTGTTTGTTTCTTTGAGAAGAGGCGGAGCAGGGGTAGTGTAGTGAGGAGAGAGACTGGAAGCCAACATTTCTAGTTGAATGTGTGACATGAGATGCAGGGGATGGAGCTGGGCCGAGGGAAGCGTGGGCCACACCCACCTTTCTCAATACCTGTTACGGGTAGAATCAGGATACCACCTTTCCAAAGAACAGTCGGGGGAATGTCAGTGGACAGAAGACAGTCTAACCAGTTCTGCCATGCTGTTTATATGAGGCTTTGTTCTTATAGCAGTTGCAGAGCCACTCTCTTCCC